TTATCACTACTATGAAAGTCCTGAGGGTCTGCTAAATGGCTTCTTGAAAAAGGTGACTTTTTGCCAGGCTAGGAAAAGGGGAGGAGAAAGAATAGTTAAAGCCGACTCCTACCTGAAGAGTCCGGCTTCCATGCAGCATGGAAGGAAGCTCTGGAGAGAAGATCCTTGGGAAGGGGTGTTGGTAGACACTGAGTTGAAAATAGCTAGTGATGTACCTAAGTGGATGCTCCATAGGACCTATGTTTATGCCCACATAGTTGAAATGCCCCTAGGAAGTGGAGGGCAGAAAGAAAAATCCACCAGTTGCTAGTTCAAAGATGATAGCAAGCAACTTAATTAAATACTTATTTCATGAGACAGAGCTTTTTATCCTCTCGTATTATATTTCGTACAGGCTAGTCTGAGCTCTCTGGAAAAAAAAAGAGAAGGCTAATGCCTCAAGTAAAGATCTGGAGGGCTAGTCCTAATTTAAACTTTCTGAAGTAGTTAACTACAGCTTCTGAAGTAGGTGCTAAATAGACATAATAGCTCTTGAGCTTGGACACTTCCATTCCAGAAGCTGCTAATTGACCTCTTCTGCTCGATGCTGCTGATTGCTGCGAAGAACCATAGCAGCAAATATATCCTGCTGTTCTCTAGTAATGAAACCTTGCTCCTTGGGTCCAGAAAGTGTAATAAAAAGCATCACTGCTGAACCAGCCAGAGCAGAAGCATCAGCAGTAAAAGATTCAGTGCAAAAGGAAAATACCAGACATCTTTGTAAATATAAAACATCATTTAAATCAGTGGACTCCAAGATACGGAGGGAGGTTCAGCTCCCCAGATTTCCAGTGCCTACTAAAACACTGGAATTAGGCTGTACTGTGTGGCAGCTGAGCAGGCCAGTGAAAATCAGTCTCAGGCAGTACCTCTGCTAGTCAGTTTTCAGATACAGATTCATAGTCTCACATGGCTCTTGCATCTTAAGGGTGTTTGAACAGCCCTTGTTCTGTTTTACATTTGTCACAAAAATATGACTCCTAAGCACTTAAAATATGTGTTTGTGGCAAGAAGTTTCAGTGTTGCAAAAGGAAGGTAGATGTGGAAAACGTGGCTACTTTCCACACACTCCCTACAGCTTTTGTTATTTCCTTGGAGAAATACCAACTTCCTGATTTTTAGATACTCACCTTCTATCCATTCTTCATATATGAACCTGTTGATTTAAAAATAATAATTAATCTAAAGTATGACCTGCCTCAGGTACTCTTGGTAAGGATCTAAACTAACAACATGTTGCACCTCCTCTGCCTTTAAGCTTCTCTTCATGACTTTTTGTTCAGTCACTCAAATGTGTGAGTACTGTTTGGTTCTTCCCTTCTGAAACAGGCAGAGAGGGGGATAAAGAAGGATGACAGTTAGCCCTGCCATGGGGGCATGGAAAGCACTCTCATTAAAAGCATCAATAGCTAATGTCATCTCAATTTAGCAGCGTCCTGCTGGGATCTTTCTCTGAGCTGTCATACCTCATGCTGCTGCTTTCTTCCCATGTTTGAACCTGTGTGGAAAGGTTTAATCTGGCTCAGAGTTTCTTTAGCACTGGATCAAAGAGAGTGGAATGAGGTAAACCTCAGCCTGCTCAAACCTGTATGTAAAGAAGTGGAAGGAAAGGGAGTTGGATAAATGTTATATATAGGCGTAATTTAGACCTAGCAAGTACAGCTTCTCTTGTATGTGGGACAAGATCCTGCCTCTGAATTAGTGGTGTTATTAACAGCACTGGCTCAGTTTTATAAGGCAGCATCTGAAAACTGTGTAAGGAAGCTGGCTGAGCTCTTATTAGCTACAGAAAGGTACATCAGAAATAGAGCAAGGCAGGGCCTGATGTCTGGTGACGTCTCGTACTGTTGTTCCCTTTGCGTCCTCCTGCAGTTAATGAGAAAAGAGGGCCCTGACATTGACCCCGTGTCATGTTAGGGCACAGAGCGATTTGTTATGTATTTGTAGATCCTGCTTTTATTTTCTTTTTCTTAGAAAGGGCTGGAAACTATGTAAAGAGGTCTCAGAATACGATGGTCTATGGTAAGCACTGTCAAATCAATAAACAATCATTTTCTTCTCTTTTTCGTCCCACTTTTTTTTCAAGTATGTCCAACAGCAATAGAGAGAATTCCCAGTTCTGTTGAGGTGCTTTTTTTTCATTTCTTAAATGTATAGGTTAGTAGGGTTGTTTTGCGGAAATTACTGCAGTTCTTGCAGGGAAAGTTTGCAGTCCTTGAATGTCCTAGATTTGTTGCCACAAAAGTGGGATGAGAAAATTTTGCAGCAGGACCTCTTATATTCTTGTAAGGACTGTTTCTTTGTCTTTTAAGTAAAACCTGTGCCTTTCTGGTTCCGTGTTAGCAAATTCTTAGAAACCTGTATGATTTTAGTGGAGGCAGAATTTATGGCAAGTCAGGATTTTGTGGTGGTTTGTTCATCTTAAGAAATGCTTTTCAGTTGAAAAGTCAAAGGCCAGTCTTTCCCTCTATCAGGCCATTCGTCAGTTACCTGCTCTGAATGCTATAAATGTAAATCCTTTCCAGAAACAGTTTCATTCACCATGGTGAGAGGCTGTTTGTTGAGTCTTTGGTAGTACATACTTGCTACCTTGAACAGTTTTACAGATCATGGGGGACTATTTTGTTTTCCTCTAATGACAGGGAATATTTCCCCAGATATTCCTCAGAGAATATCTCATAGTAAGAGGAGCAGTTTTTGTTTTCCATGTGATGCAAAATACCATTACAGAATTTCAGATTACCTAATGACACTTAACTGGAATTTGAACAGGTATAACCAACTAACTAACTGAATATATATTTGCAAGTCTGTTGTAATTTTTCACTCATGGGAGAGAGGAACCAAAAAAGGACAGTTTTTTTGTAGCTCAAGCAGAAGTGAAAATTAGGATTCAACTTGCAAAGCCAAAGTTGTGCTGCTCTCCTCCTGGTGATCAGAAGGAGGATGATTGCTAGAAAGGGCCAACGGAGAATTTTGTTTCAGCTTTGAAGTCCATTTATAGTTTGATTTTTTGTAAAACATTGGTCCTATTTCCATGAAATTGAAGCTATCTGATTTCTTTAAAAATTTTTGTTTCATTTTCACAGACTGCTCTTACCCAGCACCATCTAGTGGACCGACTATTATTGTCATTTAGAAAAGAGCTGGTCTCTGTGAACCATATAGCAAATTAGACCATTCACTCCTTATACTGTGAAAAATGCACCTAGAGTGTGTTTTTGACTAATTATATAACATAATCAGAAGATTAGCAGTTCCTTTGTTGAAAAGGGGCAGTGGGAAGGAAAGAAATTTTAACATAAATGCAGGTAGTGGTGCCTGTTATCTCCTGCATTCCTTTAGTCCATTGAGCTGAGGCCTGCTTGCCTGCTTTCTTCTGCCTTAAACATGTGATGCCATCCAGGTTGTAGCATCTCTAAGGAAGGATTTTGCAATACTATTTCTTCGTGCAATACAACACAGCACAAGCCACAGCCTCATTCATCACTGTGATACAAATGATAGCTACAAGCTGATGCTAACAGTAAGCCCTGAAGTCCTCACATGAGAAAAATGCTCTGGAGTCTTTCTAGTTTAAATCGCAGGCAAGGAACTCAGCGTTTGGCTCCTTGAAAAGACATCATTTTGTGTAAAACAAAAAGCAAATTCCTTGGAAAACCTCCCAATAGAGTGCCTATATGCACTCGATAGAATCATCAGGTCTTCCCAGCAGCTGCCTCAGGACTTGGGAAAAGCAAAGGGGTCTATGACTCGGGTCTTTAGGGGCACAGGGGAACAGGCTTTTTTCTCCAGCTGCAGAAAGAAGGGGGGCTTAATCTCCAGAAAAATTAATCTTTCCAGAAGGACTGGTTGTTTCACCTCAGGAACACCTGGCTACATCACCAGCATCCTACTGCTTTTTCGTAAACAAAGCTGCTTTGGCAGCAAGCCCTTGATTTCAAAGCTACGGTTGCAAATGAAGGGAAAGCAAAGGGGGAGATCCCGAGTCACTGAGCAGAAAACCCTGACAAGTTGCAGATGTACAAGTGAGAGCAGGCAGCCAGCAGGCTCTCTCAGTGACACTGGGCAAGCTCTAGAGGCAAAACCTCTTTCTAGTATAAGGAGCAGAAAGCAAGAGGCAAATATAGAGAATAGGAGCAAAGCTAAGTTGTGTTGCAGCAAATGCATCAAATTGTAACATCTTCCCCTTTAAACTTCCTTGCTTTTTAACATTTCATCACTTTAGGGTCTGTTGTTTTTGTTCAATTCACATATTTTGGACAATGAAAGTAAGTGGGTCGGTTTTATTCTGTAAATTTATATGCATTAGCACAATAACATTGTGCTGAAGTTTCCAAAAAAGCTGTTCTTAAATAATTCATGGAAGCATTTCACTTCATTTTTCCAAAATTTAAATGTGCAGACTAGGGTTTTTTCCCCCCAGCTTTTAGGGAACACAACATTTTAATATCATCATTCTCTTTTCTTTCTTCCTTATTCTAAGTTTTTAATGTAGTGCAGCAGTCAAATTATCATTTCTCTGCTGACCTCCTCAAAATATTGCATTGCAATGTAACTTTTCCAGGCAGATGTGTCTGCCTTTTCAGATGAAGAAAATAAAGGTTTAGGGACTTCCCTTTTCAAGTTTTTACGTTTGAGACAATAGCTGTGGATAGCAACTGTACTGAATGTATTCACCTGGTTGAGTGGGTGCAATCCTGTTTGGAAATCCACTTGGTTCCCGTTGACTACAGCAGGAAACATGGGTCTGGAACGGTTGTAATGCTTTCTTAACAAATTTAGTGACAGGAATCCTGTTTTGTTAGGGGTTTGAGGATAAATCCTACATGCTGGAAAATAAACATTTGCAAAGAAGGTGGTGCTGCTCTGTGTAACTGCTGTGAACTAGACATTAGCAAGCGTATGGGAATTCAAGAAGACACTTAAAATTGTTTCTTCTCTTTCTGTTTCTCCTCTAGCTCTGGGATTGTACACAGTAAATGCAATATATGGAGATACTATAATTATGCCTTGTCCTCTAGAAGTACCAGAAGGTCTTATGTTTGGAAAATGGAAATATGTAAGTATAGCTTATCTTTATATTTATTAGAGCTGTTACAAGATGATGTGTATTTTTTTTTATGTGTGTGAGATTACAAGATTCCAAACGAGAGGATTTCTGCCTCAGATATGAAGGCATTTATTCCTGTGTTTGTAAGACTTCAAGATTCCAAACTGTATAATTTCTGCCAAGCACAGATTAGAGGTTTGAGGAATTAATCTCATTGTTCAAGAGAAATAATTATTCAAGAGTTCTCTGCCAAGCTGTATTAGAGCTCTGGCATGTTACCCAGTTGGTGTCTCGCTTGCTTGACAGAGCCATCGGTGTACATTTAAATACTTTTGAAGTAGGCTGCCTGAAGCAGAGCCTGCTTTGTCCCTGGGAAAGCACTGTCCCTGCATTTGGTTGATCTGACAGTCACTCGGAACTGTTTCATGCTTCGTTTTGTTTCATGCACAGCGAAGAAGAGAGCAGAGCTGACCTTAGTAGAATTGCTGGTGGTTTCACTCTGCTGTTTCTGGCAGAGAACAGAGGCAAAAACGTGGGTGCTCTCTTCATGTCTTGGTCAGCCTGCAGTAGGAACACTGCAGGATGAGCTTCTCCTGTATGTGATCGCAGGTTGAAAGGAGAATCAGCATATCAAAGTCAAATGAAGCTTGGAAGCATATGTGGATAAAAATGCTGGGATACCAAAACCCTTTTGTTTCTCAGACTGACATCGAGACAACTGGTTTTCCGTCTTCTGTGAAGTTCACCTAAATCACCTCTTGTGCTCAAACAAAATGTTACCTACAGTAATAGATGATTTCTAGTTTGACACTGGATTTAAATATTATGTAGTTCTCTCTCTCTTTGCAAATGGCATCCATCAGCCTATTTTACAGCAGAATGATCTGCCACTGGGGGCTGTGTCCTGTTCCCCCTGGCTACTTCCTTTATACCTTCAGGTTTGCAGCTTTTGCAGCCCCCATCCATTGAATAGTTCTTTTCCTGCAAGCACATTGGGGAAATGAAGTCAGAAGTCTGGAGAATGTTTCCCCAAAAAGGGACAGTAAAACTGTTTCATATGAGCAGTCAGAAGATGGAGTGCCTACGTTTTGCAATGTATCTTTTAGTCTGCCAACTTTTTTTGGGAAAACACAAGTCCATCTCCATGAAGATGCAAGGATATTCTGAGAAAAAGAAATGCATTATCTCTTTCCATTGCATATAGGTTGCCTATGTTGGACAAGTACCAAGCGGTAAATGGAGATGTTACAACTTCTTCTAAATGGAAAGGGACACAAAACCTATACAAAAAAAGCCTGTCGAAGTTGCTGTTGTATGAAATTGTTGCCACAAACCCACACAACCAAGTGGAAGTGATACCCATTCTCCCAGGGCAGCTCACAGCCTGGCATTGCTTGTCCTAGGGGAGAGGAGGGTTGGATTAGGCTTTTTTGGTCAGGTGATTATTTCACTGGAAGAAGGAGGAACTCTGTTTTCTCCTCTTCTGGCTTGGGACGAGCAATTTGAGTTCCTGGTCAGAGCCCTGGGAGACTTGCACCCTGGCAGGAGAAGGTGTTGGCTCGCTTCAGTGTCTACCTGGATGTGCTTGCGTTGGGTGCATTTCCAGAGTTAAGGGTTCATTTGCCCTTGACAGGCAAATTCTTGTGTATTGAGTTCAATGCAATGTTTTCTTTCCTGTATGACAGACATCTAGACAAATCCAAGAGTTTAAAAGCAGGAGAGGGAGAAAGACTGTAAGGGAATTCAACTTGGTGATGCCTCCTGCTCTCTGCCCTGCTCTGACATCATTCATCTCTTGTCACAGCATCATCATGCTTTTGTGGGCTCTGCAGTCAAATTGAGGTATTGTGCTGGGAACAGTACTAACATCAGTGCTGCAAGGTGTAAGGGATAAAAGGGAATGAAAACCTTTTCCAGCCCTCAGCACAATACTGAATGTAAAGATAGAGTCAGTGTTTCACCTCACTTTAAATAAAGGCAGATAATGTCCCTCCCTGCTCTGTGCATGTGTTTGTGTAAGGAGGAGGGAATCAAATCCCCTAGAACTGCCCCTGTAACTTTGCCCTTCATACAATAAATTTTTTATATGGGAAGTTTGTACAAGGTTGTGTACTTTGTATTCCTTCTTAGGATGGCAACTGCATACTGATTAATATAAGGAGGATGTCTAGAAAATGATACTTTGCAAATTATACTGACAGGCAAAATAACAATATTTGATTGCATGTATAGTCCCATGCTACAAGCTCTCGAGTCCTTTAAAAACAAAGAGGGAAAAAAGCTAAAAACTAATTTAGAATAAAATAGGCAGTTATGCCTGATTAAATCCTGCATTTAGAATGAAGTCTGAATATCCCAGACAAACAATATGAATATGTAAAACAATAATGGAAAAAAAAAGGCAACTGAAGCTTTTGAGCCTAGCTCACACATGCTTCTATTTCAAATACTTTTTCGTGCAGGCAGAGGCAAGTAGTGCCAAAAACACTAGCCTTTATCAGAGAAAGCCCTTTGCTGTGCTGAGATTAAGCCAAAGGATTGAAATTCTTTTTACTAATGATATTCTCAATGTGTACCGTGGAATTCTTAAAGTAGCTCTCAGACTACACTGAATTTCTTCTGTGAAAAGCAAAAATTAATCAGGAAAGAAGCAATCTGATACAGTTTTCAGGTTTTTATTTTTTTTTAACATTACAGGTTTGTACCAATTGCAAATCTTCAGGAACTTCTAAATGAGTGTTTATGCAAAATAGAGGTGTTTATCCTTTTATTATAGGAAATGCCAAATGGATCTCCAGTATTTATTGCCTTCAGATCATCAACAAAAAAAAGTGTACAGTATGATGATGTACCAGACTACAAGGACAGGTTGAGTCTCTCAGAAAACTACACGTTATCCATCAAGAATGCAAGAATCAGTGATGAAAAGAGATTTGTATGTATGCTAGTTACAGAAGACGACGTTTCCGAAGAGCCGACGATAGTCAAAGTTTTCAGTAAGTAAATCTAGTTGTTACTGCCATTAACATTCATCAGCATTTGAATCATAAATTACAGAAACTTTAAGGCAAATATTAAAGATGAGAAAGTAAGTTTGGCTGAGTGAATTACTAAGACTAGCAAATTTCTGCAGCTTTCAAAAATATAATCTACTGGTGGCATTTATGTAACAGGACTGCCTGCACTTGCAGTTTATTCATGATAAGTGCTGGCTCAAAGAGAATTTTAGGCTTTGATAATGACTCACTTATGTGATGTCATTTGGCCTTGGAAATGAAAAATGTAAAATTAGCATTGATTATTTTCCATTTGTTCTCCGAGCAAATTTTTCTGCAGGAGGGAAACATTAACTGTGTGCGGTCTGTAGGATTAGTTCAGGGGAGAGGTTTAAAGCGGCTCTGAGCAGCTAGTATGCAACAGTATGAACCGTGAGGGAGAGGGCAAGAGACTGGAAAATGAGCCACTAGCCCCAAAAGCTTAGTTTGTCCCCTGCTTAACTACCAGGAGGAATACCAGTCTGCAGTTCATGTTCCTGTGTGAGCTCCGAGCAGGGCTGTGCCTCAGAACGCTGGGGTTAGCACTGCACACCAGCCTTGCAGTGGGGCTGTGGAGATACCCAGCCCTAAATAAACCCTACCATGCTCTGAGAGAGAACTGCCATGACTCAGCCTGTGGAGGTGTCCATTATGACGTTTTAGGGACGCAGTGTCTTACCTTCCTTAGCCTCATGTTTTCGTATGACTTTTTTTTTTTTGGCCTTTGTTGCTCTTGAGATGCAGATTTACACAATCAAAGTAAGTATCTGTTGTGGGAACAGGCTGACTGCAGGGATGGGCAGTTTCAAAGAAATCGCACTCTGAAAAACACATACATGCTTTGGAAAGGCAGACTTATGCTTCTGTCAGGGAGTCATCAATGGTGTCTAGGCAGGAGTCTGTCAGTGGCATAAATGAGTTTGAAGCAAGATTAGGAGCCAACAGTAATTCCTTTCCCTTGTTTCACTTTCAATTTGACTGCAAGAACAATCTAATTAATGACAACTGGGAGGAGTGTGCTCAGAGCGCACATAGTAAGCACAGTGCTCCAGAGGAAATGATAAAGAATTATCATGTTTACTTATCACACAGTAGTAAATATGTAGATGAGACAGTGGTATATAGTGAAATGAAATGCTAACTGCTTGAATTACTGTGCACTGTACTAAGTATTAACACAATTCTAGCTCAGCCATGGAGCACAGCTTGTCTAGTTTATTGTATGCATTAATACTAATAGAGAGAGCTTCTATTTACTAAGTTAGGTGAGAAGTGAGGATGCCACATGTGTAATATGGCCAACTTAGTGCTGCAAGAAAAATTACCTTTGCATTTTTTTCATTTAGAGTTCACAGCTTTATTTGTGGTTCTCCTAACTTTTGTTTGCATTTAATTTCCTTGAGCCTGTTTTTTTAAGTTTTTGCGTTGCCTGGTTGCTTGCTTTAATTGCAAAACAGTTAAGAGTAGCTGGCAAGCTTCATTTATTTAACCAGTGGAGCTTCTAATTCATTGAACCGCAGGTACAGAGCTAGCCTGCAGCAATGTGACCCTCACACACCAAAACTTTGTGCACCTGAAACTCAGCTGCATCCCAGAAGTCATGACTGATGCTGGGTTTTGCTGGAGCTTGTTATGTCCTCAGCTGTGCTACCTGATTAACTCAGAACTAACGAGCTGAAATGGCTCATTGTGCAGGTACCACCTGCTAGTCTCACTCATTGGACTACTCAAACAAGCGCTACCAGCTTTCCAGATGGATCCTGTCAGCATCTTTTTTTCTGGAATTAAATGGCCAGTTTCCAAAGCAGAGCAGCCCAGAGGATGTGAGTCCTGCTGCACTGATGCTTGGCTTTTGCAGGAGATGAACTCTTTTCCCCTCTATTATAAGGCCTGTATAGAGCTGCAAAGTACTCTGGCAAGCTCTTAAGCCTAGAGATAAGCAGTGTGCTGAAGTTGCAAACCCACCAAAGTGGGCTCTGCTGCTGCCAAGTTTAAATTTTTTCCTCGCTTCAGACGCTGAGCTGGTAAATGCCAAGTAAGTCTGTTATAGTGAATTATCCTGGTGCTGGTGCAGCGGCTGTGAGGATGTGGCAGCAGGCATTTCCTCTCGGAGGCTGCTCTCAGAGAGCAGGTAGAGGCCTCCCAACTGGAGCATCTGCTCAGTTATCAGAGCACTCAAACCAGGGAGAGCCCCACACAGTGGCCACGGAGCAAGGGGTCCCTTTCTCTCGTTAGGATCATTGCAGGGCAGGGGCGTCCGAAGCACCAAAAAGAGGGTCTTCTCAAACAAGTGCAAGAGGAGATGAGAGATGAAAGGAAGAAAGCTCAGGTGGGGGAAGGTGTCATGGCTTGATCAGCTGGTGACTGTAACAGGCAGCCAACTGCAAGGCTGTTTATGGGACCTGACAATCTGAACCAGGCGGCCTGTTAATGGTCTTGTAAAAGCCATATTTGCTTGAATTGACATGAAAATGTTTTGTTCTTGGCAGGTTCTTACAGAAAAGAGAAATAAACATACGTGTATCTCTCTCTCAAAAAAAATCTTTATTAGCCATCTGAAGAAAATATGATGGGTTTAGTGTATAGCTGTGACTGTTTCTTTTGTTTGATTTTGGGGTTTTTTTGCCATGAGCAAAGTTGTTTGAAAATGTCAGATGAATAGCTTTTATTGCCTTTCATTTTCTTTTTGAGCCGTTTTTGTTTTGTCCTGGTGTAGTCATCCAAGTGAAGAATATCTGTGCATTTGTGTGCATACAAATCGCACATGCACAAAAAGAAAATGGATTATTGTGAAAACATACAGGTTTACTGTCTCTGTAATAGCAGGAGCAGCATGCCTGCATGTTAGTAACTTCATCAGTGTGTGTAGAGATTTTGGCAAGATAGCAAGATTACTGACATACGTACAGCATTTCATACAGAACTTGATTAGGGAAAAGGGTTCTGTAAGCTGACATCATTAAGAATGTTTCAGTCTGTAAAAGTATGCTTATTTAAGTAGTATAGCTAGGGTGTAGAGGCTTTCCTCAACTGTATAAACATTGATTTATGTTTTTCCCCCTCCACTCTTCTTCTTTTAAAATTGTGGGGGAAACTGTCTCTTTTGGAGATAAAAATTTGCATTCCAGGCTTCAGGCCAAACTATTGTAACCGACAAGTTATATAGTCTCTAGAAAGTAGTCTTTTATGATGGAAACACTGATAGATCCTCCACTTCAGCAAGCTAAGAGGTCCATCTACCATAATAAAAGTAAATAAGAATACATGCTGGCACTGAGGAAAAAGTGTTGTGGTTTCTTCTTTTAAGAGAGTCATAACTAACTCAGAATCAGTTAAAATAATTACACTTCTCTCTACCATCTGAATTTCTTAAATGTAATCATTCCAGTTAGGAAAAATAAACATTAGAAGAAGGATTAGGTTGAATTTATTCCTTTGTAATGTGACAGCTCAGCTACACTAATATCTGCAGAAAAGCTGCTTTTTTGTTGCTATAGTTTCTGTACTACTGGCTCCTTCTCCAGCATGTGTATCATGTAAATTGATAGATAGGATCAGGTTCTCTCCTCCTGGGTGCTGAACTAGTCTGTCTGGCTAAAATATGTATCACCGGAATACATGGAATTTATTATGGAAGGTATGAAACATTTTAGGGTGATAGTTTATTCTTTTCAATCCATTTGCTAGTATTGAGATAGAAGTACCTCACTTTTTCTTCTTTTAATGGGAAAACGTAGCTAAGACTGTATCAGGCCAGATTATTCTTTTACTCTCAAAGTCCACATATCTTTTAGTAATTTTGCATTTTTCGAACAGCTGTTTGTTCTCCCTTCACCAGCGCTTTTATCCTATTTATGTTTTAGAACAACCCTCTCAACCAGAAATCTTACATCAAGCAGACCTCTTAGAAACAGAGAAGCTACAAATGGTAAGAGCAGTGTTCTCCCTCAAAGTTATGTTCCTGATGGCTGCCTGAAGTCTCTTTACAGTCCAGAGAGAGGTGATGGCTCAGAGAGGGTGTGTGTGCACACACACACACTGGCCTGTGAGAGATCATAGTCTCCAGCCAGGTTGAGCACAGAGCAGTTCCCTTGCCCCAGTATTATTTATCAGTAGTATTTATCCCTGCCTGATTCTGTGAACAGGCTGTCCTGATCTTAGACCCACCACCTTCCTCCAAATTGTACCTAAGCCTCGCTGATTGGATTTATCCTATTTAAAAAAAGTGGTTGGAGCATTTGAACTTTCTAGAAATTTTTACCCAAAGCAGCATAAGTAAAAATGTTAAAACCTGGTGGAGAAAAACAGTGACTAATTCCTGTCTGTTTTTCAGCTTGGGGAGTGCGTTGCAAGAGATAGTTATCCTGAAGGCAATGTTACATGGTACAAAAACGGGAGAATTCTGCAGCCCGTGGAAGATGGTACGTTTTGGTAATGGCCGGTGTCCCTGAATCCTCAGATGGGTGAATGCATGAAGAACTCTGTTTAAAAGAGTTGCTTTGCTTTATTGTAATGTATTCTTCCTTTGAGAAAAACTGCTCATGTGGAAAGACGTTAGTTGGAAGGAAAATTTAGGCTTTTCTGAGTACCCAAGCTACGTCATATAATCTTTTTCAGTTCGAGTTTTAAAACCACATTGTGGGGAGGAGGGTTATTTTTCTTAACGCTATTGCAAAACAATAGTGGAAACCTGTATCTAATTTCCAACTTTCTGTAAGGTATTAACTGTCTCAATTTTACACCTGTCCAATACTCTGTTTTGGACCATGTAGATCATCATCTTATACAGGTATTTATTTTACAGGATATTTAAGAACAGCTTTTTTTTCAACTTTGAATTTGACAGACTCATTAGACCACAATATTTTATCTTCCATAAACTAGAGAGTGCTTAAAGGATTAAGATATAAATATGATCCTACGTTTTCTGACATCATTTTTAAAACCTTCTTTATGTCTTACAAATTCAGCTGTGATTTATATTAAAAAAAAAAAAACCACACAGTTGACAATTAGTTTTTTGTTTGGATTGGATTTAAAATGTTCAGCATGTTAGGAGTATGTTGTTGATAAAATATTCCTGGTATAACTCAGAGGCAGTACTAGAGGAAAACTTTGTACAGTCTCTTGGGTAATGTGCCATGTTGCTTGCATGTTTGCAGCCTAATCACAGATACAGAGCTGGAAACAAAACGTAGGAGAAAGGTTGCAAGTTCTGTCTGTGTGACACCAAAATATTATTTCCTTTTTAGTTGTGGTTATAAATTTGCAGAAGATTGTGGACAAATCAACTGGACTCTTCACCGTGACATCATCTCTTCAGTACATGCCAACAAAGGAAGATGCAGATGCCAAGTTTTCTTGCATTGTGACTTATTATGGACCATCTGGCCAGAAAACAATACAGTCTGAACCAATTGTCTTTGATGTTCACTGTAAGTTACTAAAAAGCATCTACTGCTGTACGAAGTCTACCTTGGGGTGGGGGAAAGCAAAGTCAGAAAAGGTTTACAAAGAGACAGTTACTGCTTGGCTGTTAAAATGGTTTCTTCAAAGTTGATTTGCATCAAGGAGGTCTGAGTACATTGTCTGTGTAATTTTTATCATCTTCAGATTTACCTGAGATTTCTTTTTTTCTAACAGTGGAATACTGAATATCAGCATTTCATTGACAAGATGAAGGTAGTAACGATAAAAAGTTACAGTGAAATGGGATTTTGAGAACTTTAGGAGAAGTTATACTGGTTGATTACAGTGACTCTTTGTGACCCCTGAAATATGCTGGAAACACAGAGTACAGTTTTTAGTAAATTCAGATGTTTCTTATCTTTGCAGAGTTAGCACCAAACAGTTAATGCTGGCTGTCTAACTTGAACAAAATGCTTCTCTACAGCTATAAGATTCTGATTTTTACATTTAAAATGTATACTTTGAATAGTGGTTTACTTTTAAGTAGAGAATTTGTGTAAACAATTGTTTCTAATGGGACTGAGTTCTAAACCAGCTTTCTTACTGTGCTACTGATGTATGTGGACATCATAAATCTCTTTTAAATAAACAAAACAGACCGTTGGCAAGGAAAGGTCAGAAGGGGTGGCAGCACTTAGAGACAAGGGGAAGAGGCTTTTCAAAGTCTTGTAAAATGACACTTCTGAAGGAGCAGATCAGAGTCAGCAGATCAGAGAAGGATGCAGAGGAACAGGAGATAAATGAAGTATGTCCAATCAAGTGTTACCCCATTGCACACTTTGGCTAATCCTCATCTTACAAAAGAGAAGTCCCTGTTTTGGGGATGATATGGTCTAAGTATACAGTCCAGCATCTAATAGGGTCTTAGTATACATTGTAGGACAACCCTGTAATCGAGTTGAATACAAAGAAAACAAGTAAGGCATTGGATTCTCCAGGTAGCGTATGTGCTCCACTGCCTTGAAAACAAAAGCCAAAGGCTGGAAGTGGCATGCTATGTTCTAGCTAGAGGATAGTTAGTTCTCTTTTACCTGTAAAGTCTCATGAGCCACAGTGTAGGGTGTCAATTTTGACCTCGGTCAAATAAAACCTAACCTTAGAGCAGTTGGGCTTTGGTTTCATCTGCAGGTGCCAGACTAAATGAAGGTTGTCTTTTCACTAGCTGTTTCTCCAGAATGACAGCCAGCAGAACTAATGGAGAAGAAAACCTCTGGGACAGCAGTTGTTACCCATGGAAATACCATTGACATTTCAAGCCCGCAGACAGCTATTCCGCCACTTTAAAACTAGAGGCATTTCTTATTTTTTTGGTTTTGCCGTAAAGTAAAAGGAAAGTAAACCTGTCCTCATTTCCCCACCATTTTCATGCATTAGGGTACTTCACCGGCTTGAGGGTGAGGCTCTTGCACATTTTTGTGATGCATATGCTACCTGCAGTTGCAAGTAAGAACTGCCCAATATGAAGGGGAAAAAGGCTGCACACCTGCAGGAAAGTCACTGGGTACATATAATGTGCCCTCTGTGTTAAAGATTTAATGCTTGCTAGACTAGCTCTTCTAATCCTGCTCTGGTAACACAAAATTTAATTATTTCCTCCAGTGTGCTGCTAATTAGCGAGTAGTGGGAGGCTGGCACACCCTTCAGTAGTAGAGAGGCGTCAAGTATGAACTTTGGCTTTAGAGTATGGGGTTACACAATTTTCTGAGTATTTTCATGTGCTGTAACTTTAGTTCCTTACTCTACTTAAACGCATCTTCAAATAAATTTGGAAATTCTTTGTTAATAGATGTCCAGGCTTCAACAGTTGAGTTTTGTGATTGCTGTTAGTTGATGATAATGAGATGTCTGATTTGTTTTTAATTTTTAATTTAGTTCAGTGATCCTAATTAGTTTCTTTCTCCATAAATGTGAATTTTTTAATGAGTCAAATATAATGCAGATGAAAAAAACTAGCAGACTCCAACTCTTAAGAAATGGAAGTCTTTCGGCCTTTTTTTTTTTTTTTTTAGATTAACTGCAAAACTCTCATGTTCTGCATCTCTAAAGCAAGTAGAACAAAATCACAAAGACCTTCTGTTCATTCCTTGCAACTTAGTCATTTATCCTAAATAAATGGGGAGAGCATGCTTAAAACTATGCCTACCCAAGATTTTCTTAAAGATACCCCTATTCAGTCAAGATCTGAGAAAATGTTTTACTGTTAGATTTGGGTTTTTATTTTATCTTTAAGTTTGGATTAGTGCAGAGTTTAGTACTCAAGTCTTTAATAGCTAGTTGACATCCTGGAAGCAGCCAGCCACTGTAACTTAATATGAGAAGAAGAGTGAATTAGCTCCTGCTGAGGTGGATGCTACTTGGAATAGGTTAATTTAGCTTGGCTAACAGCAGTGACCAGCTCTGGTTTGCAGCTGCAGCAAGGAAGCTACCAAAAGTAACATGAGTACTACAGGAGAACTCTTGAAGCTGGACAGCTAGATAGTATCTCACATGTCTAATTATCTAGGCTCCAGTCATGTTGGGTTGTCCTCAGCATTAATCAGTGTAAAAAGATAATGTTATTCAGGCAGACTTTCCAGTTGTGCCTTGTTGTTAAAGTGTCTGTCTTGGAATGGATAAACTGCTTTCCATAACAGATTAGAGCTTCCAGCATTGGTGTTTTCCTTGAAATTGCACAGTGAGGGCGGCAGGTCTGGGATAGCAGCATTCATTTGCTAAATAACTGCCTTTTGATGCTGGCTCCTAGAATTTTGCTCTTGTAGAAAGCAGACTCTTGGGTTTGCAGAAGCAGCAGGTAAAATGGGCCAATCAGCAATATGTGCCACTGAGAGGCAAGATAAATCTTCACCAGGCTGCTCCTGTATATTAGTGAAAGCAGGAGAGCACATTACTCTGCCAAGCAGCACTCAGTATTGCACTAGACACTTTCTCTTACTGTCATCAGGTTGAATCTTCCTCAGAAGAATGACCTCTTCACCTTAGAGAACAGTTTAATTAGTCTTTTGGTATTTACTTCTATAGATTTATTTTTTTTCCAGTTTGGAGAACTAAATTAAAAATTTGCTCCTGGTTGGTTGCATTAGGTAGAAGTGTAAGATCCTCCTACAGGAAAGATTGGTGGTTTGCAAGAATGTCACCGTTGTTAAACTGTGTCCGTTTTTAATCCAGTGCTGTTTGTCTCTGTGGGAAAAACTTGTTCCAATATTAAATTCTAATGTCTTACTCTTTATAAAATTCCTTCCTTTTTAGTCTTGAGACAAAGCCTAAGCAATTCCAGGATATATCTAGACATCCTTTATGATAACTTCTGACATTTGGTCACCGTAGCGTAAACTTGACAGAAGGAGAGACAAGTTTTGTAGCAGCCCCTGAAACTGAGTTTTTTGGCCCAGCAGCCACCAAGAGGTGTGCATGTCATTCCTGGCCAGCTGTTTCATTGCATCTGTTCTATTCCATTCCAGCAGCAATGTTGGAATTCCGTTTTCTAAGCAGGTGAAGTTTTGCTTCAGCTCTGAAAGTACTGAGGTGGAAGGTTGGTTGGCTGTGGAAGGGAGCCGAGGCAATTGCATGTGAAGGAAGGAGAATGTGGCTTGTTGAAACAAACTGTCCCTCCTTCTGTGAGGAGGGGTGAGATGCTTTCCTCTGTTAGGGCTCTCACTCCAAAAGGCCACAATCGAATGCAGCTCCTGTTATTGAGAAATCCTGTAGCAGAACACAGACATGATAAATGCCTTAAGGGTTGGAAGGGCTGTAGAGCACATGCTTCACTAAACACACAAAATCACCTGTCAGGCGAGGGTTTCTCGGATGTGTAGATTTTTATAGTGTCTGATAAGGTGCACTGTACTGTATCTTAATGCAAGACTGGCATCTTTGATGGAATTTTATTTATGCTGTAAAATTAACACAGCGAGAGTTATCTGCCCATATTGTTTTCTTTAATTTTGTTCACTTTACTTTGTTTTAGAAAAATTATATTTAGGCCTCTACTTAGAAAGAATAGCATCTGTTAAAAATACTCCATCTTTGCCTCAAAAAAAAATTGCAAAAGTAAAACATAAGTTATAGTTCAACTTCACTGAACATGACAGAAGAACGTTACATTTACTGTTCTGTTGACTATGTTAAGGGTCCTATTATGTTCACCAAATTCATCTTTCTGAAAGCCTGTAGTGATCAGCATATAGAATAGTCTGCACATAGTCGCTTGGTTCATATTTCTTTCTTTTTAATGCCAGAAGGCTATTATCTAGTACTAATACAAGGCATTGAGAGCTTCAGTTGTTTTTCTGATTGCTGCAGTCCTCCAAACAGGGAACTTCACAGAGGACAAGTTAATCCCTCATAATGAAATCACACCATGAAGTGGTTCATACTAATCAGGGCTTCCTTTGCTTTTAAGCACATGACATGGTTGTAATCATTGCTGTTTCAGTTACAGGTATTTTGGTGAGGAAAAATGAATTTTATTTCATATGACTTCTTTGCACTTAATCGGCAAGAATATAGAAAGATTAACTTCAAGTTCTTTTATAAAAAGATCTACATATGCTAATATCTTCTCCTGCAGGATGATAAAATTGCGTTCTCTTCGGCCATGAATATCATATGCATCGTGTTGCTGTGTGGATTATGCAGAAGCTATTAAATGTGTACATTATTTTCGCAGATCCAACAGAGAAGGTGACTATTCAAGTGCTGTCACAAAGTAGGACCATTAAAGAAGGCGATAACATCACTCTGAAGTGCTCAGGAAATGGCAACCCTCCTCCACAGGAGTTCCTGTTTTACATTCCAGTAAGTCCTGCCTTGCTGTCAGTGCATAGTGAAATATTCTGTATCATCCCTTCCTACAGACATTGCTACATGTCAGTGTATACGTGATTTTATAACAAATGAAGGAAGGAATTCAATGCGACAAACACTAACGACAGACATTGGCCATTATATCAGACTCTGAGAACGCCTCACCTCAATGGGCAAAATATTTTTGAAAAATAGTCCCTCCTTCCCCACAGCCCAACCTGAATTTTTTAGAAGTTAGACCTACTAAAAATTACAAGGCTTCATTTCCCATCATTATATACTTTAATAAACAGCTTTGATTACAGCAGTTCAGCATCTTGAAGAAAACCATCTCATCTGTTGTCGTAACAAAAATCCAGCAGTGAAAAGTACAGGAAATTAACTCAGCTGTTTTTTGGACTTTCCTATATGAATCTTTGTGCAATTTCTTTTCTTCAGTTAATGAATTGTTTGGTGGCATAAAACCACAAAAACTAATGTGTGTGACAGCACAGGAGAACAAATCTGTCAAATGTGTAAGAAGCAGACTGAGAAAAATAAAAGCTTTGTTACCATTAATCTTCTTAGTATTGGTGAAATCCACAGACAGATGTGGCTTTATATTCCAAGACTTCTGGCCCTGCTTCCCGTGTCCTGCTTCTTGCTCCTATTTTATATCCCTTACTTGTTTCTACTGCAGTAGTGAGCAGAGCTGATCTTGAGAGAAGCCAAAAGAAGTGACATGTTTTCAGTTATTTAAAACCAGCATGTTAGCTCTCTGAGCATAATTGTCATCCACTCTGGACTCCTGGCATGTTTGAGTTGCTGAAGAGCAGCAAGGGAAACTAGGAGCCGAAATCCTCTTATCTCAGAACGGCCATTTAGTCATCCTAAGAACTCACTAAATGCCAAGAAAAAAGTGTATGGTATCGCTTCTTCTCCACTATCACAGTCAGTGAGCTAAACAGCCAAGTTTGTCTTATCTTCTGTCTCCTTGGTACCTGATACTAGTCCTTTTTCTCAGGGAAAGCTGGAGTTGGTGATTTCTTTGCAAGACTCATGGGTATTATAAATCTCTTTCTGGATTCAGAGATAAGAATTAGGGTATCAGTCTGTGCTTGTTTAAAAGCTGATCTGTCTGTCCAGTGTAATCAGGGGGAAACTGGGGAACTGGACAACCAGAAAGCAACACTTGTTGGCTAACTCAAAACACCAGTGTCTGTAGATAACTGCATAGAAGGTAGTGTATATCCTAACAGGCTCTATATCGTGATGTGGATAAAGCAAGGTTTGCTTGTGCTGTCCAAGATGTGTAATGCAGTACAGTTCAGTTAATGACTTTTCCTAACCTGAATATATCATATCAGAATGAGATTTAAAAAGACAAAAGGTTTTGCTGCTTTGATTTTTGCAGCACTTCTATTCGTAGACTATTTCTTTCTCCAAAACTTTCAAATTTTTTATTTTAATGTCCTCTACAAATGACTTAGTCATTCAGTTAAAAGAGTAAGCTTGTAGGTGTTTTGTTTTGTTTTGTTTTGTTTTTTAACTATGTTGTCATGTAGGAAGTAAACCTTACTATATTTAATAAATAGTTCCACTTCAGTGATGCTTTGTCGGTATGTATTTTGGAGTATTTCACCATTCTTATAATAAAAAATCCGTAACAAAAATTAATGGTTTTAGCATGCCCATATACAATAAATGTTTTGTTTTCCATCTGCAGGGAGAAACAGAAGGTATAAGAAGCTCAGATACTTACGTAATGACAGATGTCAGGCGAAATGCAACGGGAGAATACAAATGCTCTCTGACTGACAAAAGCATGATGGATTCAACCACCATCACTGTGCACTGTAAGTCATTGCATTTTGCACTCCTGTCTAGGATAAAAACTGATCTTGGACCTTTCAGGATGCTCTCTCTGCTTTACTTAGGTAGATTAGTTCAGTTGCTTACAGGAGGACTGAGTGAAGAAGTGTCTGGTCATTTTTCTTTATTCTAATGTATTTCTGTTTGAAAATCTCAACTTTCTTCAATACATTGGCCTAGATACAGATTCACTTTATGTAACTTTGGTATAGTATATGATATTATTGCACTGTCACATACAGTGAGAATCTTGGTATTTTATATATCCCTTCTGATATGGCAGATTATTTTCCTCCAGCTGTGCCTTAGAATGCACACAAACACACAAGCTGATCCACAGTGATATCACTGAAAGTCACTCTTCATAGTCAAGTTCATATTACCTCAATAAGGGGAACGTGTAAGGAGTGTAGAAAAGAGACTTAGGAAGTCATTTTGTTCACACTGGAAAAATTGCTTCTTCTACGTTTCCCAGAATCATGACAGCTACAGAGCTCAGTAAATTTTCTTTAGCTGGATACTAGAGTATTTACTCACACTATCAGCAACACTTGAAAAGCAACCATTGAACTGGTTGAACCATCGAAGCAATGGTTGCTTTTAATCTCTTTATGTGAGAAAACAAGAGCAGGAACTCTTTCAAACTCTGCTCTGCTATCACAGGCTGTGAAATGAGACTCAGGCCTGTGGTAGTAGGTTTCCCCTAAAAACATCGATGGTTCATAGTCTTCACAGTAGCATAAATATCTTTAGTAGTTGACAGGTTCAGAGGGATCTGATAGATAATGAAGTTTAAAGGCTTCTGCAGTAGTTACACTTTACATATAAAGAAATTTCATTTTTGGATACTTGGTTTAGAATTTTTTTTTTTTCTTGGAAGAGATACAATACATGCATAATGTCACAGAATCCCAGAATATGCTGAGCTGGAAGGGACCTACAAGGATCATTGAGCCCAACCCTTAGCCCTGACAGGACCATCCCCCAGAGTCACATGTGCCTGAGAGTAATATATCTGTACATGCATAATTACACTATTCCATTTAATGAATATTTTGCCTTTAGTAAGATCATCCACTGTCATCCTCCCCCCCTTCCCTTCTTTTTGCCAAGAGTTGGGTATGTAAGAGCTGAAAGAGCCCTGTACTACTGCCTCTTAACTGCCCAATATCAAAAACAGATTGCTGGTCCTTTGCTCTGGAATAATTGACCCTTTTATTTTACTCCAGGTGTCTACTTATACTTTGATAAATAGTTATTCTAAAGAATGGCTTCCTTAGCTCCAAGTTTTTTATAACAAGCCAGTTTTCCTTTCTCTACTATTTTCTCTGCATGTTGGAGGAGCTTTACTATGCCAGAGAAACACGTATTTTCTTGGCACAAGCCTTTTCAGTTTTGGCAGCTAGTGCAGCTACTCAGAACTCATAGGTACACTCTAGCACCCTATTGCTTCTCTTCACATTTTTTTATGTTCTGTTTTTCCAAAACACCTCTAGCTGCAATAAAGCCTTTGTTTAACTGAGGCACAGCAGCCTGGAATAGTTCTGTAATTCCTGAATATCCAGACAATGCCCCATTTTTAAGGTATTTTGGTGTCTTGCCTTATGCTGGTCTAAAGCGTTTCTGCAGCACATTTTTTCCTCCTTCAAATAATACTTGCTAATGCCCATCAACTCCTAGTTTTTCTCCCTCTTTTGCTTTATTGCTTACCTTTTCACATATAGATGAGTATTTCTGTCTATGCTGTAACACCTGAAAAAGGCTTGATTAGGAATCAGGGCTTTCCATTTCCTCACATGCAATCTCAGTGGTTTAGATTTTTTTATTTTCTTTTTAAGAAACCCAAAACCACAAACACAACAAGAAGCAGGCAATATAATAATTTTAGTTTAAATCTGGGAAACTATTTATAGTAATTTGTTATATTTCCAATGTAGTGTTTTTTTCCCAAACAGATTTTATTGAGCATTATAATTACACTGGTTCCTTTCAGTGTCTAGGTAGGGAAAGCTTCTTGCTGGTATGAAAAAAACATCATCATGTCATGGCCCTCAAATATTTTTGGAGGAAAATATTCTGACTGAATACTGAGCTCTTTTATTTTTCAAGGTGAATATAAATTTTGAGACTCACAGAAAGCTGAAAATTTACAATAAAGCATCTGAGTTACCCATAATGTTTAGGGAAATACTTTATTTATGAAGAAAATTGGAGGGGGTGGGGGAGTGTCAAAAAAATTCTCTTAACTTATCCACAGAATACAAAGGACAAACTGGACAACTCAAGCTTTTGTCCCTCAGAACAGGATTTGTGTAGCCAGGTCCCAGTGTAAAGTCCAGCAGAACTGGGTACTTGCACTTGGCATGATGTGTCCTTCAAGAGAGGGAGCAACAGGACAGGATTTATGTTGAGAGTTTGGGGCTTTTTACCTTGTGTTGTAAGTTTTCTTCCAGCTCTGAGCCTTGAGTGAGTTCATCCAGGATCAGATGAGTAACACTGGCAGAGGCCAGGAAGTAACAGGCCAGGGCAAAAGGTGTTTGCAACCACTTAAACAGATATAGAAGCACACCCCATGTGAGGCAAGGAAAGCAACTAACAGTAGAGGACAGGTGTACCTTCCCTCAGCTATAAAGAAGCAACTCTTTCAGCCCACACTCCCTTTTCATTACCTGTTGCTATGGGGATTTGAGCAACTTGGTCTCGTGTTGATGTGTCCCTGCCTATGGCAGTGGTCTGGATGTAGATGATCTTTCAGGTCCCTTCCAGCCCAAACCATTCTATGATTCTCTAATTGTTTCTGCTTATAAAACCCAGTATGGAGTTAACAGGTCTGTTGAACATCCTCTTTGTGATGTTTTCCTTTCTGCTAAAATGTGTTTTCTGGGGAAGTAGTTTTGCAAACCTTCCAGTAAATTAAAGGGTTTAGAAATTTAGCATTTGTGCTTCTCTACGGATATTTTTTATAGCCTTGTCTTGTCTTGTCTCTTCTTTAAGTAAAGTCATTGAAAATACAGGGGAAACCATCTTTAGTGTGTTGCATGGAAAAATCTATTCTCAGAATTCCAGGGGAAGTTTCTGGTTGTCTGCTAGTATATTTATGGAGTTCAGACAACAGGGAAGTGTTGTGCATAATTTTCCCAGCTGTAGCACAGTATTCCATCAGAAGTCTCTCTTAAATGCTGGGAATCTGTCCTATATGTGCCACAGAGCTTCAAAACTGAAACGTATGCTCCAGTCCTCCCCACATTAATTCCATATCTCACTCACATGATGTGGTAACACGTGCAGAATGCACTATCTATCTCTTCCCTGCGCTGCTTGGTATGCAAAGACAGCACTGAAATCAATGCAAGACTTCAAGTGAGACCACATTAAGAGCCAGCATACATTGAAAATGGTGCCTGATGAGAAGCTTGTTTCTGAAGAACATTTCAAAGCCAAACAGGAAATGTACAGAAAATTCTTGCTGAAAAGTTTTTCTTTCAATGAAAATGAAAATTTAATTTTGACAGTCTAATGTATGCAGGAAATATTTTCTCCTTATACTTCTGTACCAAGGAGAGATTACTTACTAATGGAGCATAGAAGTAGAGAGGTAAAAGTATCTACATTACATTTCTTTGTGAGCCCTACAGATAAACTGACAGAATATTAATCCAAATCAAATTGCTCATGTAGAGTTCCTAGAGGGGATCCTGTGTTAAACAGTAGCTTAATTCTGTACTTGCCTCATAAATCACCTTACAAATACTGCTCTGAGCTATGGCGTTTGTCTCATACACTGTAAATTTTCCTGAACTTCTATAGCAACCCCAACCACTGTGTGAGAGGGATTGTAGTCTCACAAAAAGGGGCTGGGAGTGCACAAACATACTACCCTGGAGGAGTACTGGGCTGAAGGTTTGCTCTGGGCTCAGTGTCAGTCTTGCCTGAGATGAAGGCAAAAAAGTTTCATGAGTTTCTGTGTCCTATGGCATATGTGAGAGGAACACCTCCTGCATGGTCTTTGGTGATCTTGGGTTTGAGGTGCTGTCCTGCTTCAGGGAACAAAGGGTTTAAGTAGATGTTGAAGGAAATTCACCATGAGGGGAAAAAAAAAAAATCTTCAAGCACCCATCTGCCTTGGTAGATGTGCTTAAGAGTAACAGAGCAAGAAGAAGCACATCCTGTACACATTGAAATCTTTACACTTCTCACTGTATGAGTCTTGTCTTTATTTTTGTTTTTATCTTCTGGAAGCCACAGTAACATAGATTGGTTGCATTTACTAGTTTCAGGAGGCAGAAGAAGGAATCCCCATAGGAATACAAGAAACAAGATGCCATTTTATCTCTTTGTCAAGATCTTTGACTCATTCGCAGATGAAAGTGCAGTTCTTGTGACCTCTCAAACTAGACATTAGGCTTGTAACAAAGATAATAATATGGACTAGCATTACAAGAACCCTTGTTGTTCCCTGAAGTTCTACCTTTAATTACAGTGGTGTTCCCAGGGCAACCACTGAATGAAGCCAGTAGTGAACTTCAGTGTTTTGTTAAGGAAAACTCACTTTCCTGTAGCCACTGTGATTTTTGCCTGCAGCTTCTTTTCAGCTCTGCTTAAAAACCGAAAGGATGCTTTGCAATCCTTTTTCAGCAAATTCTCTATTTGTGAAGAAGTCATGTGTGCATTTGAGATTGCACGTGTGTGTGTGTGTGTGTGTGTGCGCACACTCAACTGTGATAGTCATTTTATCAGGCAACTTGGTTTCAAGCAAGGCACTGTGAGAGGGGAAGCAAAACTGATTTAGCTTGGCAAACCATGCTTTTTTTTTCAGTGTGGGGTTTTCTTTTTGTTTGTTTTTGTTGTTGTTGTTGTTTAAAAACCAACCAAACAAACAAAAAAAGAAGATTACCAGTCCACCAAATCCTTAGACTAAGAAAAATCTAAAGCAGCGTTTCCTGACGTGTCTGTTACTGGCTCTCACCATGCCTTGTGTCAAACACAGCTGTCACCGCTGACTACAGTTTCCCTGGAGCTTAAACACGTCAGGCAGAGCTTGGACTCTTTTGAGTTACACAAAAATAGCATTTTAAGTTACAAATGAGAACAAATAAATCGAGAGGCCTCGTGTTCAGCCCCCCCAAACTTGTAATTCAGACTTCTCACTTCTGTCAGTATCATGCCTCATGCACCCTCTGTTTGACCATCTTCATCCCCTCCAGATTCTGAGGATAAAAATCACCTTCTTTTATCAGATTAAAGAAAATTACCCCTTGTCCTCCTGTCTTTTTCTCGACACTTACTACTTAGGTTAACCTGTCCCCACCTGCACAAGTTCTCCCCTGAAGATGTATTTCTACCTGGGCCATACCCAGCTACCCTCACAGGAGTCTGTGCTTCCCCTTTTAAAATGCACATACTGCTGTGTGAAGTACTTCTTCAGCTTCTTGTGCCTACTTTGTCATTCTTTCAGCAGTATGAGGTGAAAAAAATGTATCCATTTGTCTAGTGATTAGTGAGGTTTTGCTTTTCCTTTTAGCCTATAATTACAGCAAAAATATGAATGTTCTGCAATGCCTATTTTAGAATAATTCTCTCATCTCCCTTACTTGTAAAATTGACTTAGATTTTATTGAAGAAGTGAAATCTTGAATTTAATGAGTGCAATTAGTCACATTTTCTTTTCTTGGTAAGCCTTTGAAATGGGCCAGGCTTTCCGAGATTAACTTTTGACAAATGTTCTTTCTATCCCAGATTTGGATTTGCAGCTTACTCCTAGCGGAGAAGTCACAAAACAGATTGGGGAGGCCCTGCCTGTGTCATGCACGATTTCTTCTAGCAGAAATGCAACTGTGTTTTGGATAAAGGTCAGTAATTCATCTACTTCACGCTTCATCTGAGTATTCACCTCTTCTTACTATTGCTGCTACTTCAGTGTTTTGGAAGGAAGGAAGGAAGGAAGGAAGTTGTTCATTGGGCTTTTTAAAGAATAATGTTAAAATGGGTCATGCATATGGCTAAAATGAGAGCTACTCACTCACACTGATGACTGAAAATCAGTTACTGTAATTATCAGCTCAGTTTTCAAATGGAGAGAAGTAATGCACACTGTAACACAAACATAACTTTTTTTTTGAAATAGACTAGAGAAGGCACTTTGAGAATCAGGTTCCTCTAAGAAAGAGGAAAATTCTTCCATTTGGAAGAATTTTGGTGCATTGTTTTCTCAGAGTCAAGCTTGGTCTTGGTTCCAATAAACGTAATAAAAGGGAAAGGCAGGCTGAGAGAGCAGATGTTAGCACTGGGTGTTGAGTGGCTGGTACCAAATATGCGGTGCTGGAAACTTAAAATAATGATGTCTGATGGTTGTTTACGAGCATGTGTTGATCTCAGAAGCCTGGCCTAGAGTGGAGTTGCTTGTTTTTCAGTTTGCACCACTAGTGGTTTTGGCTAATCTACTAGGAAAGCTCAGAGCTAATAAATATGTGCCCTTGTTTTGAAAGTGAAATTGTTCAAGAAGAAAGGAGGTGACTTACATAAATCTCCAGTAGTTTCCACTTTTCATGCTGTATATTGAGAAGTAATTATTAATCGGGAAACACCATAAGAGTAAGGCTCCAATTTGCCAAAGCATGTGAAAACTTCTGTTGCTAGTAGTCATATTTGCAGTTTAGGGATTAATGTATTGTGAGTTAATCTCTGTCACTCCCAACTCCTTACTTTATCAGGATAATACCAGAATGCAAACAAGTCCGTCATTTTCAAGTCTTCAGTATCAAGATGCTGGAAACTACGTCTGCGAAACTGCTCTACAGGAGGTCGAAGGATTAAGGAAAAGACAGACACTTAAACTTATTGTGGAAGGTAAGTAAGCAGATAGTTATGATGATTACTTGTTCTTTTTACATAAAATGATTACCTGTAATATTGCTCTTGTAGGAAAACCTCAAATCAAAATGACGAAGAAAACCAACACAAATAAAATGTCTAAAACAATTATCTGCAACGTGGAAGGTTTCCCCAAACCAGCAGTGCAGTGGACAGTTACTGGTACTGGAAGCATCATAAATAAAGCAAGTATCTTTCATATTACTTTACTCACCCAAAGATAATGCATAGGAAGTGCAAATTAAAATCAAGGAACATTTTTCAGGTAGTGAGATTGAAGAAAATAAGTCTCTTTCATTTATCTAAGAGAAGGCTAAGTGGTAGCTGTAGCTACATGGTCCTTACATGGATGATATTTTTATGATAAAGGTTTTTTGAATAGAGCAGGTGAAGGCAAAGGAGATTGACTGGCTACAAGCCAAAACTAAAAGGAAAAGGTTACAAATGAAATCTGCATTTTTTTAAGTGAAGGTACTTAGTCGTTTTATCTGGGTAATGTGCTGATTTTGCCATTGCATAAAGAATTTGCCAATATTGCTGGAGCTATAGAACTTATATTAGAAAGCAAATGGGTACTTGATGTAGGCATTGTCTGGGTGAAATGCAATGAAATGTGGCATGTATGAGTCAGAAATTACATTCAGTATCGTTCCTTATGGGCTTTGCAGCTTTTATCCTAATTTTTACAGTTGCTTTTGTACGGTTATACCTGTTGTTTCTCACTGGAAACAGAACCATAATGCATTCATCCTGAGGGATAAATAAGAAGTACCCATATATAGCAGGGAAAATACCTGGAAAATAAGCAAACTGAAGTATTTTGATATTGATTACCACATCCCATGCAAAGCATGGCTACATTTTGCCTTAACAGGAAGAATAAATGAGACCTGTATAAAAACATTCAGTGACTGGAAGTACAATGCATATTGCTCCTGTAGATTTCATTTTCAAATAGGTTTTGCTTTCAGCCTACAGAAATTATGTATAGCTGTCAGAATGTGTCCATTTACTTGAAGCTATAGGGCAGGATTTGTCTTGAAGCTATATAAGTGATTGAAAATAATTTTCTCTGGATGTTGCATTAATCCAAGAATGATGTACAGCAAATTTAAGGAACAACACATCACTATTACAGTACAGATACTCCAGGTGCTACAAAGTACATGTAGCTTGGTTAAATAATGCTTTCTGTGGAAACAACTTGGAAAGCTGAAAAGTGGAAAACTTAAAACAATTATTTTGCTTATAAATGAAAAATAGCAAGATGGAAAGAAAGGCTCCTCCAGTGCACACTATACTATCTATAACTAGATATCTTGCAAAGTGTTGTCTATATTTACATTACCATTTAATAAAATAATGCATATTTCAATTGCTGTTGTTTGGTAAACTTAAATATTTGTTGAAAGTTATTTCCCTCTGAATATTTTCAATGTGTAATATAGGTAGTGTGTGTATTGTTTTTTGCTTTTTTAAAGGATACTAATCTTCATTTCTTACCTTTTCAGACAGAGGAGACAAAATATGTTAATGGGAAATTTGCCAGTAAAATTATAATTGCTCCTGAGGAAAATGTGACTTTAACTTGCATTGCAGAAAATGAGCTAGAAAGGACTGTGACCTCCATGAATGTCTCTGCTAGTGAGTGTCCTCTAAAGATCATTTCCTTAAAGTTATAGTTTCTCATAAAGTACCCGCACATCACACTCAAACGAAGAGTAGGTCTGCATAGTAATGTTGATACTAAGATATTTAACCTTTTTTTCTTAAGTCAAGCAATTGTAAATCCACTCTGGATCAGCAGTACATAAAATTTATTGATAGCTTTCTAGATGAAGTGACTTAGTCTTCATGATTTTCTTGGCTCCCTATCTCTATTTACAACAGTAAACAATATTACAAAATAATATTACAACGTAATAGTACAAAATATTGCAAAATAATACTTTATTAACAAGACAGAAGTCTTTATTTATTACTAAATTAACTTAATGTTCTAGTCCCAAAATTCCAGTTTATTACTACTGGTATGACTTGACTCACAACAGAAATCGGCCATACTGGGCTTTAATCAGATGCCACTTTTCAATGATGAAAAGTAGTGAGAAGCTACAGTTTATGGAAGGGTTGCACACTTTAATATTGCAGATTTTGAGTAAGATTCTTCAACTGGATATATTATATTACAAAGGAAACAAACACTTCTGTTTAAAGATGAGATTAATTACCTCGTTTGGCAAACACTGCATTAAGTTTCAATTTCTGTCATTCCTGTAAGTAGGCAATTAAAGCTGATGTTCAGGTCTAATACATTTTGTCTTAAATTTAATTTTAACATTTTTCATTTCAGTAAGTATTCCAGAATATGATGAGCCAGAGGATAGAGGTGGTATGTATGCTTTTCTGTCTCTATAACCATTTCTTTAGATTGTCTTAGTTCAAGACCTATGTAGCATCAGTGCACAATTTCCATAGTCCTTCAAAGCTGGTCTTAATTTGAAATAGCTTGTGCCATGATTGACTAAGATGTGACTTTCTTGAAGCTTAAAAGATTAAAGAACAGTTAAAGAATGATTCCTACTTTTTAAATTATTATTATTTTGACTTGCTGACCCCTTTTCTTGTTTTTAATGAAAATTCTATAAAACTGGTGTAATTTTTTACTTTGCCATAAGTCATCTCTAACTTTTCTTCTTTGCTTCAGATGACAACAGCGAAAAGGTTAATGACCAGGCAAAGCTAATAGTGGGAATTGTGGTCGGTCTTCTGCTGGTTGCCCTGGTTGCAGGTGTTGTCTACTGGCTCTACGTGAAGAAATCAAAGTAAGAATTTATGGACAACTTCATAATGAATTTGAAAAAGAATAACTATAAGCAGAAGTTTATGTTTACCTGTTTTCCTTCCTGCAGCATTCCAGTAGTCATGGGTGGGGAAAGGCTGTTACAGTAGGTGCATTTCATAGAAAAAGGAAACTTAGTACCTACCTCTGGTCAGCTTGTCCTGATGCATAACAGGACTCATCTCCTAGAGGTGGGGGTCTAAGATTTTCATAGATTGTAGCTGTAATGAGGTTGGTCTTTCCTGACAGCCAAGTCTGTGCTGGCTCTTGCATTTAAACATAGCACCTACTACTTAATTATGACACTTGATGTGTGGGAGTCTGTGCGGCTTTACTGGTGCTAGAAACTGTCTTCATCATTAGGTTTAAAAATTGAATAACTTACAGAATGAGACTAAACCATCTCAGGGAGAAGAGTTGTTTTGTTCATAGGCACTTTGAGATCTCTGAAGTTAAACTGGTAAAGGTAGAGCTTGTGTTGCTGAAAAATCTAAAAGCTATCGTCCAAAACAATATGCTTTAGCCATACTAGGCATAGAACAGGATTTGCCAGTGAGGTCTGCTTGCTTTCAAGTTTCTTCATTATCACAGAGTCTCACTTCAGAAAATAAATTGGATGATCTCAGGAAGTGACCATGTTTCTCCATCCTTTTGAAGTTGGCCATGTCTGCATGCCATTTGGCCTTACTCCTGTACATTTGTCTCCAGGGAGAGCTGAGGGCAGGCTCGCTTTCTGAAGGGCTCCTTACAGCTGCTTCTTATCAGGGGAGATTAGGGTAGTTATGCATAACATGCACAAACCAGTACAGGTGTAGAAGTAGTCTTAAAGTTCAATTGTTCTTTCTATGGCCTTTCATTAAAACTAGGTCAAATTAGATCTAAAATATACCAGTTGGATTTTACTATGAACAAATGTCTTTTCATTTATGTTATGCTTTTTTTAGATAATACATAAGGGCTTTACTTCAGCCATAACTGATCAGATTGTGGAAGTTTTTCAAATACAGAGTTGTTACAAATCACCCAAGCACAGAACCACACTCAGATATAATACGTGGAGGGTTTTTTTGTAAAGCTTATGCTTCTTTTGGTAAAAATTAAAAAGGATAACATAGTGCTCTTCCACTCACGCTTTGCTACTGTTGTGATAATGTATAGAATAATTGTCTTTTTTTCATTCCTTTTTGAATATGTGAATGTGGAATCATAAAACTGGTTCACTGGTTTGGGGTTTTTGGGGTATAAGGAGGACAGAGAAGGTAATGTAAATAACTTTTCTTGTACCATTATGTAGCGTGGGGAGAACTAACAGGAATTGTAGAATACAGCATGAATTTATTAATTAAAATAACTTTTTCTGCTTCAGAGATAAAATACAGCATATTCTAAATGGACAACACTTACTTTCCTCAAGCTTAGAGGAAAAATTAGAACTAGAATTGATTAGAGAGGTTCACTGGAAAAAAACCCAAACCTTACTAGTTGTATAATAGCCACCGTATTTGATACGTGGTTACTGGCTTCTAAAACCCTTAACTGATGCCTCATCATTGACAGTCTCCTGTTTTCAGGATATATTTGAGTAGATCCAATGGTATAGTCCCTGCTTTATGCACACCATACTTGCAGGAGGAAGCAGAGTGCCAGTACCTACTCTGACCAAGTTTTCATTATGAGTTATAGTCTAGAAGTCAAAGTAGACCTCGTAAAAAGCACCTTACACCTCTAGACACAACCTCTGTGTAGTCACAACCCCTCCATCTCCATACAGGCCAGCAGTTCATAGTTATTTTTTAAACCCACCCTTGAACAGTAACTCACCTAATCTCTATCCCCAAAGTGACGCCAAAGGGAAGTCTGAGAAAGCAGCAGCACAGAACTTTGCAAGTCTGCCGAGGCAAGAAAAACATTACTTTTTTGTTATTGGTGTTGTGGTTTGTACAATATTCTATTGTCTTGTCATCCACACTAAGTAGGAATTATACTTGTAGCCTTGGAATATGTTCACAATAAATCACTTGTACAGTTATTCACTGCCTGAGCTCCACTTGATGGAAAAACTGATTATTGCCACATATTCTTTTCAGTATGAACATTATCCCATAAATAAGGGACTCATCTGTATTCCACATTCTGCAGCCCCCTCTTAAATAAAGAGTTGAGGCTACCTACCCCAGCATGCCTTGTTTTTCCTTCATCTGAGCAGAAGGCCAAACACGTGTTCTCTGCAGATTTCTCCTTTTTCCAAAAAGGATGTTGTAAACTAATCTGCACTGAACAGAATATATCTTAGCACTTCAGCATCTTTCTAAAATTTTTGTGTCAGACCTCAGTTGAGTGATTCTAGGACACCCATCTTCAGTAAATCCTTCATCTGTGAAATTTTCACCTTGCCAGAAACAGCTGAGGGTACAGCAGAAATTTAAGATTTGGAATGGAAGTAGTGCACTCAGCACCTTGTACCTTTAGTCGTGAAAGTTCTGCATGTAGATTGAACCTTTGCCCCATTTTTGCGCCTGAGGTTTGGAGATGCACAAATCTCAAGTCACAGGAGGCTGGATTGAGGTTAAAGTGGTTTAAAATCCGGTGAAGGAAAGTTCAGCTGGGCAAGTTGACACACAGCAGCAGTCTTAACATTGTTCATACTCAGAGCACATCAAACTCTTCAAATACTTCTTAGGTCACAGTAGTCCAAAATGTTACTAGTGTCTCTGAAACTGAACACTTGAAGCATAGCAATTCTGCTTTTCTGATATTTTATAAGAAACAAGCATGTGAATCCAAATATGTAGGAAACTTGTTGTATGTTATGAACAAGACTCCTTACTGTTGGGTTTTGTGCAGTTCCCTTCCAGAGAAAAGACAGTCACATGGCACAAATCTTCTGTAAAAGGCCACCACGTAAATTAAAAAGTGGTCACTCATTTCTTGGTGACTGGAATATTTTTCTAATATCTGTGTCTTTTTTCCTGCTGATGGACATTTGAAAATAATTGGAGGAAGTGCAAGGCAAGATTGGGGTAAGGCAAGATTGGGGTAAATAGGAGGAGATTGCAGATAGTCCAGGTTTGGATGTATAAGATCATTAGCTGCAGGAAAACCTTTTGCAGCAGTGCGGTTGAGTGTCTGACGTGCCTTTCAAAAGGGATGCAAGCTTTAATGAAATTCATGGCTCTGGCTTCAGCATGCAGAACTACACCAATGTCTGTCCTCTTACCTGTCATTGTCTCAAGCTTGGGTAACAAGGGAAAGCAGCACTGCCTACTCTCTTTCTTAAACCTTGTTGAGGGCAAGGCCTGGACTTGCAAGATTAAAAGAAATCAGAAATTAAAACCCTAAAACAACTTTTGGGGCACCTGTATGCAGTCTGTATTTACAGTACAGCAGGCAAAACAACTGAGATGGAAAATGTATCTGAACAAAATCTGTTAAAACAGCAGCCTCTCAAAATAAAAACCTCACTTCAGTATTACTTGCAGAGAGATTTTGATTAGGATTCCCTGAGGATAACTATTTTCCTGAAGAGCAAGCATGTATATGTGTAAAGTATGAGTCATAATTTTAGCTCAGAATGATTCATGTTTTACAAATTAATCTAAAAAAAAAAAAAGAATAAGTAAAGTCATATTTATACATCCAACTTCTCACTCCTCAGAACAACAGGACCAGAGCACACGAAAGTGTGAGCTTTGTTTGTGGAGCTACAGATAATGTTACAGTGAGAGTTAATGTTTGAGTGCTCCAGGCCTGGGCAGAGTGGGCTGTCTACCATTTCTGACAAATCCTCAGGAATATTTCTATCCATTTGGACTTCATTCCCCAGATGCTCAGATATCATCAGGAAGTTGCTCTTGAGTTGCAAATGGAGTGAGCTGACAGGAGTTAATGCATGAAGAGTAAGGAACAACTGTTGTTGAATGCTAAGCTGGCAAAGGACCATTTGTCCTGTGCCTCAGTCACCTCAGGAAGCGATGGAAACCATGTTTTGAGGCATTTCTGTTACAAACCCAAGCCACGTCTGTCGAGCCCTGAGGATTGGTGCCATGCCAGGGTCGGCTGTTCCTCTGCTGTTGGCAGAGCACTGCCAGTGGATCACACTGCTGCAACTCAGCACAAAATTACTCTTGTGTCTTTTAATGACGCTATTTAAATAGCACTAAAAAAAGGCAGCAGTATTGTTTGTGCTAAGGTGGTTAATATGCCTAGATATTGCTATTTGGGGAACAATAAAAAAAAAGGGTCGGCACGATCACTGAACCATCATAAATAAACAGCTGCATTTCAGTCTCAGGCATTGAGAATCGAAATCCATCTGATTGTCAGACATGAAAAACTGCTGCTGCTCTCATTTCAAGCAAGTGGTTTGTAACATCCTCCAAAAGAGTTCTGGATCACCCGCCTCTTTCAAAGTCACAGTGTTGCCCTTTAGGTCTCCCTTTTTCACCCATTGTGGCTTTAGGAAAGTAGAGGTGACATTTAGTTTCATTGAATGCAGAACTAAAGTAGAGCACTTTAAAGCTAGGAGATTCTGCGATGCCATCAGGTTTTGAGTTTTAATCATTGAATAATTTTAACCTAATCAAAGACCAGCAATGCTGGTTACAGTTCCCTCTGCTGTTAAGTGTCAGGTCATAAGAGATTCAGTCTGCTTTGGGCACTGTAAAACTCTTCATAAGGCCAAATAAAAAGGATCACACTGAGACATGCCAATAGTCTATCCAGTCTCTCTATAAGCGGTTACATGAGGACAGAGGAGCACGGTACTACTTTCTTGCCTCTAACTCATTTCAGCTCAGGTAATTGCCTGACTCCAGATTCTTTCAGCTTTTCCTCTCTTTCCCTGTTGTCTCTAATTTTGTGAGACTTATTTATGGAAAAGACTCATTAGCTGCATGACAAGCCAAATTATGCTCAGCCTAAACCAAACATTTTGTAAAATTTAAATTTAAAACTTCTTTAATTTTCAAGGGATTTTTTTTGAGGGGTTGTTTCTTTTTTTATGAGGATTAAAGAGATTTGTGAAAGGTTATTAAGATCACAGGTCAGTCTCTACTGAAGCCCTGAATTTTCTTTTTCATTGCATCTCACATCCTTTCCTTTTAATGCATATCACGTGTTTCAGGGTTTGAATACCAGGAAAAAGTAGAATGTTATTGCACAATAGAAATTTACCACCGTAGAATAAGTTGCTTAGTAATACTATCTCAGCACAAAATTAAATTTGCCTGCAGTAAAGAGGAGTCCAGCTCTTTGCAGTAAGTAAGTTTTTCAACACCAGCACCTATCAATTACACAAATACGACAGAGGCACTCTAAAACCAATCATAAAAGGCAAATGCAGTTTTGATGCTTTAAAACTTAGAGGCACTCAGGGAATAACCTCCTCTAAAACAAAATACATTTTAGAATAGTGCCATTCAGTGTAGTCTCTGGGCTTTGGGATCCAGAACCCCACGCTCCCCTGGCACTCCACCTGGAGAGCTGCTCCCCAGCCCAGAAAGCAGCATTTCAGCACCACTCCCAGAGGTGTTGGGGGTTAGATGCATTTGCACCCCATCAGAAGCCCTTCAGAGACAGAGACTAAACTGTCAGTCCCACTCAAGGGTACTTCAGCTCAGGGCACACGCAGTGTGTAGCCACTACTCATGGCCTCTGCTCAGATGGAGGATGTGCACAGAAACACCCCACTAGCAAAAACTCAGATGAGCGGTTTGGGACGGTACGTACCTGCATGGTGTCAGCGTGACATGTCACACTATCCTGCCAACCTGTGTCTTCATTGTATTTTGCGAGTCAGCGTCACTGCGGGTCTTTACCCTGAAGCAAGGGTGAGCATATGCATGAATCTGCCACAACAGACCTTAGTTTTCTGTAGGGGAAACAAATTATCTGTAGAGAAAATGCATTATACGATAATCTGCTTTGACACAAGGGATTTACTGTGTCCCACTCAAACACATTTGCCCATTTACATTTTAAAAATTGCGGCCTTCCAAATGTTATCGCAGCACTGCAGGAATCTTTCACCTTGGCAGACAGTGAGGCTTCTCACAGATTAAATGAATGGCAGAGTGGTTTTATTGTGCTAAGCTAAACTAAGCACTTAACTCATTAATTCATCTCCACTACTTGCATTAAGGAAGACCTGCTATTTTAAATGAGGCATACCTCTTTTTTCCACCCCCCTCAAACATCTACACAATCTCATATTTGCCCCAAGCTTGTCAGTCATAGCTAGCACAGATCTAGAAAGCGGAGTGCGATTTTTTTCAGTGTTGCCAGAAATTTCATGAATTTCTTCCCATTTAAAGAGCTTCCGTTTGGCACGGGCTCTGAAAGTCATTTACTACAAGTACACAAAAGTTTGCTGTGTTGATCAAGATATCTTAGCCACACTTGTAACATTTTTAGTACGCCTTAAAGCAAACTCTTGTTTTTTTGAAACAAGCTACACAATTACTTTGTCAAGGAACACGGATCTCCACAACTGGTTTAACCTTACTAAATGTCTGCTAGCTCAGGATAATTCTCAGGAGGTACACACAGAGCCCTACTGTAATACTTCCTGTGGTACCAACACCAGTGGGGGATCTGGTGCCACTGGCCTATTTACAGACATATGCAAACCTATTGCTCTGCTCAGAACAGAATCTGTCCAAGTTTTTCATTCCCTGTGAGGGGAGGAGGCAGTGTCATTAATGTGAGGATGGAACAAAATGCTGCAGACATGCAAAAATTACCTTCTTTTTTACATTATAGGACAGCATCAAAACATGTAGACAAGGATCTTGGAAATATAGAAGAAAACAAAAAATTAGAGGAAAACAATCATAAATCTGAAACTTAAGAGAAAATGTGTCAGTCATCATTCCAGGTAAGTGTTCAATACTGCAGAATTTAACATCGCTTTGCCCACCATTTCTCCCTGTTGATCACAGCAGTAGACTGGAATCTGTTGCTCACCTTCCAGAGATGAGGCAGAGGGGTCACTTTGAGTGGTGTAGTATTAGGACAGACAGACTCAGGCTTTGGCCAGTTAAAAATTCAAAGCTGCACACAGAGATATTAAAACAAGCCTGACATTTAGATGTAACTTGATACTTGGCTTTATTTTAATCCAGATACTTGAGGAAATGAAAATACAAATTTGTATAACGTGTCACGGTGGCACACATCTGTGTATATGTGTATATATGAGGATTACTTTTAGGTAGAGTTAGAAGGTTTCACGCTGTGACTTGAAATGTTTACAGGAACCTTCTTCCCTTAGTGAAAAGCAACAGTTACCAAGTCCTTGGTCAGTTTTGTCCATCATTAGTGCAGATGGCACGAAACTTCCTTTAGAACAAAACGATTCTTTTCACTCTAGATTTTCCATACTTATACTAGGATCAGTTTTATCCTGGGAAGAGACAGTGTATATTACGTTTAGTATGAAAGTTTCCCCTGTTGGGATCTGTTTACCAGTGATTCAGTAGATGCCGAACTTCTGCTGGGAATTACAGGAGCACTACGGAGCACCAACAGCACCACCCTGTGCTCACACATATATACACCGCTGCTGCATGTATTTATGCCACTCCTCTTAGTACCCAGAGTAGGGGTTTAGACTATTTTTACGGCCAGTTTAGGAAATTTAAAATCTGCGGTAGCCCAAGAGTCTTAAGTAAATAGCATTGGATACCTTCTTGAGGGAGTAGGGTTTTAAAGCATGTAGGGGAATAAGGGTATTTCATATTTACATTAAAAGGTTTCTTATTTAAATAAATACAGCTGCCATTAATAATTTCTATATGTTAGTATTGTCTGAAATTGTACTTTTAAAGTACAAGCCACGAGTTTTGCGCTAAATATTCAGAATTCACTGAATAAGATAAAGCACTTACACAGTATATAAAGAGATGCAGCATTGCTATAGGCACTTTACTAGTAATATCAATGTTTTATAATTTGAAAAAGGGAATTGGGAATATCAGAATTATAGCCTGTAAAATATTTAAAACTAGAAAACAAGTAGATATGAATTTTGAAAAAGTTGCAGCATAAATACCCAGCATTCCTACTACAGTTCTATGGGAAATTCTGTAATCTTTTTGCTTAGGGCTTTACCTGTAATTTTTTCCTGATCCTGGTACCTTCTGCAACATTGTGATGATATAGATGTGATTAGATGAAGTTAGCTGGGGGTTATTTACTTAACATAGGAGTTCAAATAACATTATGTGGCTTCAGTGCAATCTTTTACTCTATTTCTTCAGATCAGTATATCTACATAAATGAAATGGACATAAATTCATTACTTACCAGATAAACTTACTGGATTTACTGGAACCAATATTGCAACAGCTACACTTGTCATGAAAGAAAGTGTTAATTTCATTGAACAGGAGAAGAAAGTACTATTCATGTAACTGGTTATTTAAAGGTTAGATACTGAGTAGTTATGATGGTTGATATACTTTAAAATGTTTAACTGGCTTTATTTTCATATTTTCAGAGAATACATATAGACCAATTGAAGCATGAACGTGGATTGTATTTAAACATATACAAAGAAGTGACAGCTATTCATGGTTCAAGTATTAAGCAGATCATACTACCAAGTTTTCAAAGGATTTTAGACATAATTATCTTGAGATAAAACAACCCCACAAACTAATTTTGGCAACAGCCATGATAATAGGTCACCATGTTGCGTTCTGTTTGAAATATTTTTTTGTAAATGTCTGCACTGAAGATTTCTTTTTGTTTGCCTTTATGTAAATTTTTTACGTAGCTATTTTTATACACTGTAAGGCTTTGTTCTGGGAGTTGCTGTTAATCTGACGTATAGTGTAATGGGTTTTATTTCAATTGTTTTTATGACACCCTTTGAGCAGGTACATGTCTAGTTCTGGTTGTTTTCAGTGAAGCCTCTGGTTTGTAGCAAGTACCTACAGTGTAAGATTGTCTTAAAGGAAAATGTCAAACTCCTTTTTCGTTCTTTGAAATCACGGTAAAGCAGAAGGGTGACAGCTGTGACAAGAATAAATTGTTAATGAAAGTGAATGTTTAAAAAAAAACATGCAAAGCTAAACAAGCCAGAAAGGGAATATAGAGTTTCCCTGAAGAAGTCTGGATATTGAGCAAGGAACACTATGAAAAATTCCTAGCCTACATACAGACGGTGGCTAATTATCCTTTTCTTCTAGAGCAAGACACACATTTTATTGATCACTATGAGTCGTCTTTCATGTTAGAATTAGGATAAGGAACTGGAATTCTGGGTTAATTTTGATTCCTTTATGTTATTCGCTGCCTTAAAGTACTGTAAATTGTCTTTATTTCAAAGAGATACCAGTCAGAATTGGAACCTTTTTTTAAAAAGTGGTCATATCAAAGCTGCATTTTTTCCCACAAAAATAGAATATATATATTTTTTGTGTGTTTTTGTTAACTATGCTACAGATATTGAATGCACCTTGAGATAATTTTAGTGTTTTTAACTGGTACCTAATTTATCAAACAGTACATATAATTGTAACAATGAAATGTCTATGTATCTTTAGTTACATTCAAGTTTGTAACTTTATAAACATGTTTTTTGCTTGAGGGACTTTTTAGAATGGTACTTGATAAGAAAAGGTTTTAGGGTGAATGGCCAAAAGAAAGTCGTACTTAGGGGAGATAAGTTCCAATTTATCTGGAAGGTTAGATTCTGGAAGAAGGCAACAGGCAGCTTTGATGGAGGGGAACAGTAGATTAAGCAGAACATCAGGTTTCCATTTACAAATATCCAGGGAAAAAGTAAGTTTTTATAGACTGGTAGGCAAAAATAAATAAATAAATAAATAAATAAATAAAAGAAAAAGATGGACGTTAGGAAATGTATTTTGCCACTTTTGCATTATTTAGGGGGAAGAAAACACTGTTACTTGTAAATTTGTAAAATGTTAAATGTCTGGGCAGTAGTGACTGATGTCTTAATAAAAGCTTCCTGTAGTGCATTGGCATGGATTAAATACATAAGAAGTCCTATAAACTCTATGCTGTATAAAATATTAGAGGGAAATCCTGTTATATGCCTCTAAACTTTAATTTCTTACTGTTTTATTTGGCAAAAAGAAAAAAAAGAATTATAATCTTGGTCGATATATAAACCAAAGTAAAATGGGGGAAAAACCAAAGTAATTTGTTTTGCATGGCTAAGCCATTCTGTTATCTCTGTAAATATTGTGATTTTTTTCTTTTTAGAATTTTGTTAAAAAAATTCTAAAATTTTTAAACGCCTCTTTTTCCAAAATAAAACGTGAACACACAAAAAAGTTACTTTATATATAAATATATCTTTTTCTTTTGGTGCAAGAACACTGCCAAGTGATACACATTTTTTTAAAAGAAAAAACAAATTCAGTGGGCATGACTCTAAACGGGAATAGTTGTAACAGAGTCCCGTGAGGGAGTGTGCAAATATCACCTGTCTTTGTTTATAACACTACAGATAGTTCTTAAATACAGAGAGGAAACTTCCAAAGATAGGGAAACCTCCAAAGGGAAAGCATAGGGAAGGGCTGAAAATTTTCATACCACTGTCAGGGGAATACAGGGCAAAGGAGAAGAAAAAAAGTCCTTCAGCTTCCACAGCTACAGAAGAAGGAATAAAACCAACTCCTCGCCTTTTGGGATTCTGCTAGATCTCCTATGCACTTTAAATCGTCAGTCCTGGGAGCTGGGCTTTTACACTGCTCCGAGTTCACTATAGGCAAGTTTCAAGAACCAAGAGTGCAAAAGAATTAATGTTTCTATCCATGCCTAAACAAAAATAAAACTGAAGTATGTCTTCACTTGCTTGTCTGATATCTCAGTTTACCAGAACATGTTCAGGCACAAGGAAGGGCGCTTACCCAGAGCTCACGCTGCTGCTGGCAGTAAGTCCTGCACATACACCTCCACAGAGTTGTCTGGGATGAAAATTCCAGCAAAGCCAAGGGGTCTTGGTGTGGGTTTGTGGGCCTTCTCCTGGACCACACGGTCAGGACCTAGGGAACATAAACACTCGCTCAGAGAAAAGCACATGCCCAGCTGGCACACAAAACTTCGCCGAAGTTCATCGTGCGCGTCTGTGCTTGTGACTTGGATTTAAAAATTACCATATCAGTGAAGCTTGGGGGGTCTGTTCAAATCTGAGTTTGTACACCACACCAGAGTTCAACTTCAGTTTACTTCACACAGGAAGAGAAACAAATCCCTGCTTACAAATGGTTTAAAAGCATAGCAAAGGGGAGTAGGGGAGAGCCCACCCTCTTGCTTTGCAGTCAGGAAATAAGGTGATTTGTGGTGTCTGTTCATGGCTACACAGGAAACTGCCACTGAGCTTGGAACAAACCAGCAGGTCTGGCTGCACGCTGCAAAGGCAGCATCCTGCAAAAACAAACATCCCATGAGCTTCCCAAGCGACTCTTTGAGTCCTCAGAAGCAATAATACCAAAACTATAGCTGTGGATATGAGGGATATGAGCCACTGTTAAAACACACAGAAACGTAGTGGTGCAGCCAGAAAGTGAGACCACCTGGAAAGGGGAGGGGAGCGGGAAGTACTTCAGGTCAACACGACAAAAGGCAAAGCATTAGGGACTTTTTGTAGTGGTTCTGAGTACTACAGAGTAGGCTCTATCTGAGGGCTTTACTGCACCTACAACTACTGCACTGTTGGGACCAGCATCTGGTCAGAGCCTAAACAGGGAAAGTGCTGACCTGACTGCTGCTTGCCAGTGAAATAAACACTCCACACCTGATTGTCCCTGTATTATCCAGGACTTAACAGCATCAAACCAGCACTACAGATGGTTTAGGCAATATGTTACACCTTTCCCTGGACAGAGAGTTTTCATTCTGTCATGTTTTGAAAAACATATACAAATAACTCTAAATTTTATATTGATTATTATTTAAACATTATGAGATACTAATGTGAATTTTACCCACAAAGACATACAACGAATGACTAAATGTAAATTTATTTTCTTTGTTTTTTATGATAAATTTTGTCAGGGAACATCCGATGTTCACCTAATAGCTTCAGCTGCTGGCTGTTGCATTTAAATCTGATTTACTTGTAATACCACATGTAGCTGGATACCTTCCTGTTGACTTCATATTTAGACAGCCATATGTCTGTAATTATCTCGGCTAAGATTAAGCAGTGACATATGAAATGAGATCATGACCTCCTGTGTCAGCCACATCTGTGCAAACGTTTTCTGGGTTTCCTTTTTACAAGAATGCATCTGCATTCAGGTGTCTGTTTCCAAGAATTGCCCAGTACAGGGGTTTCCAGCAGGTTTCTCCTCCAGGCAGAAGGAGGTAGAGGAAACGGAGGAAGAACATAACTTTGAGTTATATGCTTCTAACCCCTGAAGGGCTCCCAAGCTCTTCTGGAAAAGGGTAGGTAGCATCCTCAAGCTGGCACAGTTCAGTGCTGAGCGAGGCTGACTTCAGCTTTCCCTCACAGTGGTCTGCCAGAGAGGGAGGGTGAGAAGGGAGGTAGACAGGCTGCAAACAAACCAACCAGCCAACCCACCGCACACCCCTCTTGGCTGTTTATGCTTCATGTGTAATGCAGCACACACATTCAATAATGATTTGCTACATTTCAAATTCTTAGGGAATCAGGAGCTTATTACTTATTATCAAATTATGTCAAAGTCGATTCCTAAAATAAGACTAACTCCATCCACCCAGCCACTCACAATTCTTCAAATATCTATAAATGTAATTCATACAATTTTTCTCATTTACATTCTAAATAGGGGCATTTTTTTCTGTTAGCAGCAAGGCATTCACTTTGATGTAGTAATGAATTTCATCTTGAAAAGGTAGAGCCTGACAAATTATTAGGAAATTTTGTTCCTTAGTGAGAAAACAGTAATGTACTTCTCTCATCACTCACCTACTCTCCCCCCAGATGTTTTGCCTCCTCTCATGCTCTACCTGGTGATACAGCTAAGGCTTCTGTCATCCTCTGTTCCCTATCCTACTGCTCATTTCCACATTCCCTCTTCTGTATAGATTGATTCTCTGCTGTCCTTGCCATCAGTTGTTTATTTGTAAAACATCCAGTTCAGAAATGACAAAGCACCTTGAGATAAATACCAGCAATTCAACAGAACTATAAATATGGACTGTGAAACAAGAAAAAAGTGTAGAAACAGACTAAACTTCCCATGCTGGGGCTTCTACATATTCATACTCATTGTTGGGGAGTCCCGTGAAGTCTCCCTGCTTTGGGAAAATAGCACAAAAGTGTAACCCACACTGCAAAGGCTCAACTGTAATACCATAACCTATAATTATAACAACAATGTGCCTTGGTTTGGGTTTGTTTGTTGTGTTGTTTTTGTGGGTTTTTTTAGGTACTGGAATGTCAATACAAGTATTATATTTAAGAATGTGGGGTTTTTTTCATATATTTAGTCCACACAGTTGTGATGTAAAGGTTTATTGCATGTTACCCAGCTCTGGACTTGAGAAAGCAGACAGAAGAATGTAACATCCTATTGCTCTTAAAAGTGACAGATTAAATTCTATTAAAATACAGTGATTTCCACCCATATGCTTTTTCTTGGAAAAAGCTGTCCCTCTTTCAATATAAACCTACATTCAACCTCACTCAGATAAATTATACAAAATAACAACAGAACAATTATAGAATTATGTAGCATATAACAACAGAATAATAATTATATAACAACCTGCATAATAAATCTTATATTAAAAGAGACCAATTACAAATCCAGAACAATGCTTCCCTCAGCTCCAACTCACATCACCCTAATCCTTTCTTCTCCCTGCTCCTTGAGATTTTCACCAGAACAGTTTAGTAATCACCTGAACGGGTACATCACTGAGGTCAGTTTGTTTTCTCCAGGCCTAGAAAGCAAATACAAATTCAGATTGTGTTGTTAGTCTTCAATAATGCCTAGACACCAGATCAGAGATTTCATTAATATTTGCATCTGCCACAAGAAGAGCTATTCTAGCATGGACAACAGAATACATTTAAAAGGAAGAACATATAATTGAATCTAAATTCAGGAAATGAAATGAATTAAAGAATCAAATAAAACCTCATATAGACAAAATATTTCCACAAATTCAATTTCGAAGATATTGATATAAAAGCTCTCTCTGGTTTTATTACTCCAAATAGAGAAAGATCACACTCATTTCCACGAATTTAAGAAAGTAAACACAACAAACACAACTGGCCAAAGTGACTACACTTGCTAAACAGAAAGAAACATGATAAGGAAATCAGATCAGACAGACTTTCTGATAAAATTAGAGTTAGCAAGGTTACCAGTGTGTGGAGTACTCAGCCTTTTGGCTAAGATCAAGTGCAGTGTCTATGATAAGGTAGTTTCAGTTCTATGTGCAATGTCTTTCTAACCCCCACTCGCTGTACTTGAAGTAACCATTTTGCACTTCAGTCTGGGTTTGCTGAGTCTCCTGCACAGCACTGGGTCCCAGATTTTCCTAATCCAAACCACATGAGGAACAACAGTGGAAAAGCAGAGGCTTTTTAATTGAAATTTTTGCACATACTAGAGGCAAGGATAAGAAGTAAAAGTTTGTCAACAAAAGCAGTCAGTGGTCAGAAGCTCTTGAGAAAGTCGTATTTGTGGGCCAGCTGCTCTCCCAGTGCCTCTGCCTGAGAAATCAGTTGTTTGGTCCTTCAAAAAGGGAGTGTGGAGAGAAGAGTGAAAATGACAGTAAATAGGAGCCTAACTCACTATCAGTTACCTTCAACGACAGCTAAATATTTTTTTAAAGTTCAAAATTTAAAAGAAAAAAAAAAAAAAAAAAAAAAAAGGAAAAAAGATGGGAGTGTTGCTGTGGTCAGTGCCCTCCAAGGATGCAGTCCTTGGACAGGTGCAGTGCTCTGTCTTAATGCTCTCTGTACTGCTCTCCCTAGAGCACTTATTCAAACATTTGCTCTCTCCTCATTAGGTATATGCTTTTTACATTTACACTAGCTGAAAGGTGCTAATAGCTATCACCTTGGATCTGGTGATACAAGGCAGTCAGAGCAATCCTTTATAAAGCTGCTACCCTTAGTAGCCATCTTTAGCTCCAGCAGAGGAGCCCACCGAATCTCTTTATGTAGCTCCAGAGAGGGCACAGTCTGTAGTACTGGGCAGAGATAAATTTAACAAATTAACAAATCCATCCAATTCCAGTTGCAGAGAGTTGACATTAAGCAGGTTACATTTGCTCCCAAAGTTTTAAGGAAGGTCTAATGGATGAACCAGCAGTAGCATCTGGAACAGAATTTGCTTAAGCCCTAATCTGGCTTCAACGTAACAACGGGTACCAAGAGAACTTTTTAAACATTTGTGTTTCTCCAAGTGGTACAATTCAACTCGGAGCTCAGAGATGAACTGAGAGCTAAAAAAAAAAAAACTTTCTTGGGATCTGTGGAAATAATTAGGCTGAATAGGATGAGCTTCTTCAACTCTAAGAGATACTGTGGCCAAACCCAAACAGCTCAGCTTCCTCAATATACATAATACTGCTTTTATTATAATACTTCAGCTTTCAGTCCAAAAACATTTACATAAATTTACATGAGGAAAAGCATTCAAGTACATTTCAAGGTATTATTAGCCAATAAGCCCTTCTCAAATAGTATTTTAATGCACTCAGTCCTTTCATCCAACTAGATCTTGACACAAGACATGAGTATAATAAGTAATCCAGCATCAAAATGCATCACTCACCGTCCCTAATAAATCCATTTGAAATAAAAGTCATGGCTATTTATTGCTGGCTGGGCACATGGCAG